AATCTCAATCTCTTCACCATCCATCCTGATGCTTCCAATTGGTCCAGTGGTGATTATCTTTGTCTTCTTGACATTGAGCCTCAATCCATATTGTAGGCTGCAGTCCTTGACCCTCTGCAGCAAGCGCTTCAGGTCATGTCATTTGCATAATATGCCACCAAAATTCATATACCTTAGGAATGGAAAAGAATAACTTATTTATGCCCCACTGATATGCATTGTTAATGTGTTACTATACTAGCAGCCCTGATTTTATTTTATAGTCTTTATTTATTTATAGTATTCCCTAATGATCAATGTGTATCTGTACCTCTGTGGCTGAGATTGAATGATATTCATTCATTCATTATTATCCCAGAGCTTCAGGGAGGCTGGTGGCCTGCAGGCAAGAACTTGCACTGTTAATCCAGATCTATCAGCTGCTCTGTGGGAGAAAGATGGGCAGTATCCTCCTGTGTGAAGAAGGATGATCTTTTAATAAACAGTGCTTGAACAATTTGGCCACATGGGAAAAATGTAAAATTGATCATTACCTTACATCAGATTTCAGTGTCAAAGGTAAAACCACAAACCTACTGGATGATAATATAGATTATTCAGTGATGTTAGAGTAAGGAAAGAGTTCTTATTCTTATTCATGTTATCTTTATGAGGACACAAGATACACAAATCCTAAAGACCAAGATAAATATTTATGAATACACTAAAATTAAGAATATAATGGGTGAGTGAAAGAGTACCCTGATGGCATAATCCATGAAAAAAAAATTTGTTTTCATTTATCAGAAGGCATCATTAAAAAGTTTAATGGCAGGTCACACAGGTAGGATATTTACTGCACATATTTAAATACATATCACTCATGTACTTATATTGCCATAGATGAACCAAATCTTTGAGTTATGTTGGCAAAGGATATTGAATATACCATGTTGTTGTTGTTGTTGTTATGAATATACCATGGCTTGGTAAAAGGGCAAATAAGTCTGTCTTGAAGGGATTGCAACCATAGAGCTCCTTAGAGCAAGGAAGATGAAACTTTGTCTCACTTTCTTTGGACATAGGAGGAACTTAAAGACATCATGCTGGAGAGGAAAAGGATCAGTGAAAGAGAGGAAGACTGTATTGAGATGGATTGAGTCGGTGACTACCGTGATAGGCCTGAGCTTGACAGAGTTGGTCAGGATGGTGTAGGTCAGGGCAAGGGTCTGACCTGTTGTTCACAGAGTTGCTATGAGTCACAATTGACTTGATGGCCCCTCACACCACCGTCTTTCCATAGCTTCAGTTTTGTCTTACAGTGACCCTCCACTGGGTTTCAAAGGTTGTAAATCACATTGGAAGGAGACTGCTCATCTTTTCTCCTTAGAAGCTGCTGGTGGATTCGAATTACCAGAGCTTCACAGCCTAGTTGAATCACAGCTTGCCATGGACTATGCCACCAGGGTACCCTTTCAGTCACCTATTGCCTCCGAGTCAGAACAGACTCATAGTGGGCCCTCTATTAGGTTTCTAAGGCTTTAAATCATACAGGAGGAGATTGCCCATCTTTCTCTCTTGGAGCTGCTCATGAGTTGGAACCATGACTGAGGTTGGACTTTGGATCAGCAACACAACTCGCCAATGAACTAGGCCACCAGAGCGCTCTCTTCTTCTCTTCTCTTCTCCTCTCCTCTCCTCTCCTCTCCTC